CCCTTTAAAGATGCACTAATAAATAGGGAGAGCACCTGGAGCTCAGCTGCCACTCACTCCTCATCCATACATACAAATATAGTATAGAGTGGTCTCAAGAATACGGTTTTGTGCGCTATTGTTATGTCTGTGCAAACACTATAACACTATAGTATTGCCATTCATCTGCAAACCAGTGAATCACTACTAAAATTCATTGTTTAAGCGATTATTTATAACAAAGATTACGCTTTCATTGAATAAATCATTTATAACTAAATCACGTTTTTAACAAATACCAAATTTTTGCCCTCCTCTTTTAGTTGCATTTAATTTTGACTTAAATATTGATCATTCGTTTACGAAATCTATTAAATTATACTAATTTAGTGTAAAATAATATTATAATGTAGACAACAATTATATACATTTATTACATAATTTGTTATCATTTGATAAATAAGTTATTCTTACTTTATAAGTTAAAGCCAGTTAAAGCAGTGATATTTTTACTCATCATATATTAATGCATTAATGAAGTAACAGTATATTGATTTAATAAATAGTGATTAAATTTAATATTATAAAATGTTCCATAAAACCATTTTAAGTTACAAAAAATAAATGCTTTTTATTTTAACATTTTAAGACAAATAAAATATATGTAATAATCTTCTTTTTGTGCATAGTTTTGAGGTTTAATTTTAATTTATAGTTAACATTAATAGTAGATATATTTTTTAGGAATAATTTAAAACTTAAAAGTATTGAGAAATGCATTAGAGATTAAATCGATAATCGCTATAATTATTATTTACAAAAGCACCAGAAAAGTGGTTGATATCCTATATTACAAAAAATTTACATAAATATCAATGATATGAACCAAAAGAGTGCCAATCATTAAATGTTGTTTCGATTGAAATCCATTTCTGATCTCCGATTCTGTTCTCTTTATTAAACTTTTTTTCCGTGCACTCCATCTCAGCCTTAATCAAACCGTTCATCAGTTGTTCGGCGCTATTGTCGGCAACAATGCCCTCCTGTTGGTCGGCCTCTCGGAGCAAGTCTTGAAGTCCGGCGATGTATTCAATCGCTCGATGCAATGTCTTTACTTTAGACAATCGTTTGTTGCGATTCTCGACGGGAACACACTTTCGGAGTCTCACAAAAGCGCTGTTCACGGCCTGCACTCGTCGTCTCTCCCGAGCATTCCTTCGGGCGACCAAATGAATGGGTTTCTCCCGATGCGGGACGTGTTTGTATGTGGTTTTGGTCGTCTTTCTGTAATTTATTACATATTTAACAAACATTTGCCTATATTTCTATTGTAACAGAACTAATCAAATAATATAAAGTTTACATCAGTTTATAGATAACAGTGAAAGTTTTGTGTAATTGTATAAATTTTATATAACTTCCAATCATTAACTAACACTTAAAATCAAGAATTCAATTGTATTTAACTTTAATTAATAAAGTTTATAAATTTAATTCTAATGACTCTTTAAATTGTTTATATATGCAAACCGTTTAACAATTTCTACAGAATTGAATAAAATCTTGCAAAAGCTTAAAAACTTACTTTTTCTTTGCAGACGACTTATTGGATGTTAAAAGAGTTGGAGAAATGGATAGCGATTCCGATTGATTAGACAATGACTCGGGTTCTGACTGGAAGTAGTTGTGACCAATTGACGGCTTTTGTTGAAGTGGCGGAGAATTGTGTGCGATATGAGTGGGAAAAGTGTATGCATTGGTGTCTGTCATGTATTGGCGCTCATATGGAGAATGAATTGAACAAAGATTAGTGGAAACACTGGACCAGCTATTACTAGGAGGCGATGGAGTTTCCGTCGGACTCGTAAGCGCTGGCATATAATTGACTTGAGGTGTGATTACAACAAACCCCGAGTGTTGCAACTGATGATCAATGAGCTCTTGCATTGTATTATATAAACTCTTTATATCAAGAATATTCACACAAAAAAGTTTGTAAAACAATTAAATTATTAATATTAATTAAAAGTTTCAGTGAATTGATTAGAAGAGAAGTGCATAAACATAATGCAGGTATAGATAATGCGGGATTAATCAGCGAATGGTATAGAAAAACTTCAATTATTATAAGGGCTGAGAGAGTATGAGTTCATCAGTCGGTGAAGTCGTGATTCAAACTAAGAGTCGGATAAATGGGATGAAGTGTTATATATGTCTCATCTCTGGAGTAATGTTTGGGCTTTTGAATGGCTTTGGATGGCCTCACAGACACACGTTGTGTGCGAGAGAGGAGTGAGCAGTGATTGAGTTTTGCCCAAAACAGAGATTGCATAGACTTTGTGCACCTGAGATACGGCGTCCAATCAAACTGGCAGTTATCATATGTAAGTGACTTGACTTCTGCTGCAAACGGCACGCGCCGTCGATTGCCTCAAGACTTTGTCCATTAATTATTGAAACCAACATTAAGGCAGTCTTATCCCTCTTATTCCTCTAATCAATAAGAGGTCGTACGACTCCACAGCACTTGTACCATAATATATACAGTGTAGATAGACAATTGTATTGTGTACTGAACTTAACGAATAAATAAAATTCAGACAAATAAATGCCGATAAATATCAGTGTATTTGAGAATATACTATAAAAAATACAATAAAAATAATCTCAAAATAAATAATTTAAAACAGAATAATAATTGTTTATATATAAAATAGATGTAAACGTAATGTATTCATAAGAATTGGATGAATCTGTGGTATCGGTTCTGATCGCTGGCACAACACTGTAGGTCTATCTCTGCAGCTGCTGTTGGCTCTAATTTGCATGCATTTCAAACATTTTCAATTCACGTATAATTCGTTTGCATTTTTGACTTAAAACCACCGTTTGTTTAGGTTTTGACCTTTTTATGACCATTTCTTACACAACTATTTCTTTAAATTCACTCAAAAGTCACTTTCATTTAAATTGAGAGTTAAATGAAAACACAAACACTTATTGAACTAAAGTTTCTGGCATTGAATGAGCCGTCTATAAGATTCTGTGAATGCATTCAAAAGTCTACATTCAATACATTGTTTTTTACTAGAATTTTTGCTTTGCTTTCTTTTTTTACTTTTTTATGTAATATATTTTTATACATTTGTCTCTTCGATGCGTAAAATTATGTGAATTAACTAAAAACTCATAACAATAAAGCAATTTAAATGACCTTCACTTTACAGCATCAACATCTCTGTGATCATAGCACTGGCCATCAGCACTGGTCTCTCATCTCAAACATTTCTATCGAGTGCACTGCTATTAGTCTAAGGCATAATTTAAGCCACAAATTGAATGTTTGTTAACATTTTTCGTTTTAGTCAAAAGCGGTCTTCTCTTCTTTAATGCAATCAACCAAAGCATAGGTTTGTACCTCTCTCTCTCTCTCTCTCTCTCTCTCTC